CCATCCTTCAGTGAACACCCTTACGTGGGTGTCATTCCACCCTCAATGTGACAAGGTCAGTGTGAAATGCTCAGTGGAGATAAGATTGTATTCATTTAGTTCAATGTTTACTCAATGAAGGGTGTATACAAATGCACTGCTGCCCGCAGTGGTGGATGTGACTCAATGGGAAGAGTGCTCACCTAGCAGGCACCAAAACCTGGGTTTGATCCCTGGCATGGCATAGCCAAGTAAGGTGGCAATCTATGTCTGTAACCCCAGCCAGCACTCATGAGGTGGAGGCTGGTGGATCAGAAATTCAAGGTCACCCTCAGCTACTTAGCGAGTTCAAGGCCAGCCTGCGATCTATGAGATCCTGTCTCTAGAGGAGGAAAGTACATATCTAAGTATTCCAGTCTCCATAAAAAAGACCCATGGGACAGCCTGTCTTCAGCATATTTATGGAATGTAGCCATTGGCGTTCCTCCCCAGCTTCTACTTTGGTCCTATTTCTGGCTCTGACTTGGCCTCTCGAGACCTTTCTATTGTTGGCTTAAGGAAAAGATTAATGGGCAATTTTTACTGCTTTCAGCAAATGGAACCATTTTAAAGCCCTAGGATTTTTTTTTTTTTGGTTAAACTTGGAAAATAACTATAAAAAATCAAATCTTAAAATTTGTGGTTATGGTTGTGGGTTGCTTTTGGCATTTTGATTTATGAAGTGAACGGTTTTAATTGACAGCATTATCTTTTAAAAACCATTTATTATTGTGGATGTGCGTGATCTTCATGGGTAAGGGCACATGCCACAGCTTGCATACACGGGTCAGAGGACAACCTATGTAGATGCCAGGAGTGCTGGCTGTTTTTATGTCAACTTGACATAGGCTAGATTCATCTAATACGAAGAAACTCCAACTAAAGAAAATGCCTCCATAAGATCGGGCCCGTAGGGCATTTTCTTAATTAGTGGTCAATGCAGGAGGGTCCAGCCTGTTGTGGGTGGTGTCATCCCTGGGCTGCTGCTCCTGGGTTCTACAAGAAAGCAGGATAGGCAAGTCATGGGGACTAAAGCAGTAAGCAGCACTCCTCCATGGCCTCTGCGTCAGGTCCTGTGTCCAGGTTTCTGTCTTGTTTGAGTTCCTGTCCTGACTTCCTTTGACGATGGACTATAAATGTGGAAGTGTGAGCTCAATAAACCCTTTCCTCTCCAACTTGCTTTTTAGTCATGGTGTTTCATCGAAGCAATAGCAACCCAAACTCTGACACTGGGGATTGAACTCAGGTCACCTTTACAAGCTGAACCATCTCACCATCCCCATATTATGTTAAAACATTTTCCTAGTACTTTTATACATTTATTTAGTAATGTGCACACATGCACGGGTGCATGCTTACTATTGCTCATGAGTGGAAGTCAGAGGACAAAGAAAGTGCAGGAGTCAGGGGTAGAGCTCAGGCCATTAGGCTTGCACTCCAATCACTTTTACCTGCTGGGCCATGTTGTCTACCTTTGAAGTCATTAAAATGATTGCCTCCCCCCACCCAGCATCCCCTGGAAGACCTGCGTTTCTGTAACCATTTCTCTGCGCCTTTTTGTGTATTCTGATGCTGAAATGAATTCACACTTGGCAAAGGCTTGCAGGATGTGCTCCCCGAACCTAAAAAAATTCACCAACAAAACAGCTTGCGGACTAGTATTTGGGATCTGATTTTGAAAACAAACAAGAAATTTATCAGAAATAAGAAAATGCAGCTCTTGTTCTCCCTCATTTAATCTTGAAAGAGGAAGAAAATTGTATGTCACAGGTACCTCGATGCACTGGCTTAGATCAAATCCTCCCTCATTTCCAAGCAAAGGCTATCCACATGGCTTATCAGATTTTATTCAGGAAGTAAAAGTTTGCAGTCTCCTCAGCTATTATGCTTCTCACGGATGTTGGTGACTTGATTGGGCTGGGCACAGTCACCAGGGTTACATTCAGATAAGACAGTGCAAGGACAGATACGAAGAACAGACATTTGTCCGGTTCTAAAGTCCCACACAGTTCCTGAATTCTCCACAGTGCCTCGGGTTATCTCTGGGCGCCATGCCGTTTTATCTGAGGTTTTCTTTCTTCTTTCCGGGAAGGTTTACAACCTAGAGAAGCCACACCATGATTTTCTTCTGGTCATTTTATTTTGTTCCATGCTCTTCGTCAACTCCAAGCAAGAAGCTAAATAATCTACAAATTCCCAGAGTGCATTTGACTTTGTAGGCACACTGGCCATTATCTTTTTATAGAACGTTAATAAATTCCAGGTTGTGACAACGTTGTAAAGTTATGTTAAAGGCAGGCTGGGGACAGATGCAGGGAGAGGTCCGGGAGAGAAAGGGACCAGAGGTGTGTTCTGATGCTGCTGCAGGGAATTAGACTTGAAGTCCAGAATGGGGGAGGGGTGGGAAAATCACCTTTGTAAAAGCCACTTAAAAAAAAAAAAAAAAAAAGAATAGCGAGTGAGTTCCAGGACAGGCTCCAAAGCTACACAGAGAAACCCTGTCTCAAAAAGAACCAAAAAAAAAAAAAAAAAAAAAAAAAGAAAAAAAAAAGAAAAAAGTAATAAACTCAGGCTGATCTCTACAGATATCAGTTTCTTTCTTTTTTTTTTTAAAGAATTCTTTTTGTTTATTATTTTGTTTGTGCATAGGCATGCACGTTGCCATGATGGATATGTGGGATAAGTTAGAGGAACTTAGAGGAACGAACTCCCTCGTTCCCAGCACAGGAACTGGGTGACGGCGAGGGGAATCTCAGAGATGAAGGGTCTCCAGGGGACTGTCCTGAAGGTCAAGGTAAGGAAAGCAGGGGAGGCTGCTCTGTAGAGAGAATGAAGCTGGCTACAGAAGGAAGCCAACTCTGAGGACCCTCAGTCCTTGTCCTTGTCCCTGGGGGAGCAGGGAGTTCCCTAAAAGAGGCTCCGCCCTCCTGCCTGCCTGACAGTCTGAATTTATTTATTTATTTATTTATTTTTGTTTTTTTGAGACAGGGTTTCTCTGTGTAGTTTTGGAGCCTATCCTGGCACTCGCTCTGGAGACCAGGCTGGCCTCGAACTCACAGAGATCCACCTGCCTCTGCCTCCTGAGTGCTGGGATTAAAGGCAGGCGCCACCCAGCTGCCAGTCTGAATTTAAACCCTTCAACACAGCATGGGAGGAGACAACTCACACCTGCAAATTGCCTTCTCACTTCCACACATTCACTGTGACGCGTGAGCATGCACTCATACACTCAAACATACACAAGCTCCTGCGTACACACATGCACAAATAAATGTATTTTTTTTTAATTAGCACCATAAAGTGGAGTTCAGGTTACAGTACTTCGTGCTGGGGAATGTCACAGCAGTCAGCTGGTCACATCACACCTGTGTCAAGAAGCCTAGGACAACAGTTGCATGTGTGCTGGGTGGGGCTCAGCTCCCATTCTCCACTCACACAGTCGGTGACCAAGTTCCCGGAGTGAAGGAAGTTCACCCAGCTCAGCTTCTCAGTGGTTTCCTCAAGTTCCTGAAAGTATGGAGGCTACTTGGCACCCAAGAGACTGCTAAGGTCCCTCCTGTCATGGGTCGGGGACACAGCTTGATGAGTTTTAACGCTCGTTGGATGAGATTCTCTCTCTGCTGTTCTACAGCCCTGAGCCCACTTAGGCCCAATAACACCTTCCTTCTTTTCCTTCCTTCTGCCTTCCTTCTTTTATTTGACTTAAGAACAAAAATATGACAGGAAGAGGGCTGGGGGGTGGGGTTCAGAGGCACAGCCTTGTACTGCACATGCCAGGTTTGGGGTGGTGGTGGTGGTGGTGGTGATGGTGTGTGTGTGTGGTGTGTGTGTGTGTGTGTGTGTGTGTGTGTATGTGTGTGTGTGTGTG